GCATAGTTCTGCGGATACTTTACTAGGTTACTGTAAACCTCAACTGCTATAAATATTGGTTGTCTACAGGTACCAGTTACCTGAGCCTAAGCTCACTGGAATCAATGCAGATTCCAACTGATGTCCACCGATGTTGAACCAAACCTCAAGCCACCACACTGTGCCAGCCAACACTGGACTGCAATTTAGGTGTTTGAGTCTGGTTCCAATGATCCCAATGCCATCAAAGATTTCCAAAGACACTAAGGGGAGGAAGCAGCATTTGGGCTCCTGTATGTAAATGTAAATGGCCATCATCAATAATGCACAGCTGATCCATCCTGAAGGCTTGAGCCTTTGAGCAGGTGCATGAGAGAACTGTGATGTTTTAATTACTCCCATCCCTAAACTGTATTTATTGGGAGCTAAAAACATCCTGCATTTCATAGGGAACTCCAGCCCAGCTTTCACAGGTCCCGCTGTAGACTCATGGAGACTGCAGAGCAAGCATAGGGAGAGGGTCATGTGCACTGTGCAGATTAAGGGCAGCTAAACCACAGGTTTCCAGGAACATCTCTAATTCCCCTTGGTAAACAGTTCACCCCATTAGTATAAACCTGCCAACACAGCCTAATTTTTATACATTGAGCAGCAGCTGCCCAGTCATCTACATACAAAGCTGGAGAGGATTGTCTCTGCTCAGCCTGTGCAAGAAGACTGCTCCTGCCTCTCCTGTCACCTGGATTAGATTTCAACCTTGTTCAGGCAAGTCCCTTAGTCTTTAAGGGGACATCTTTCCTGCATCACAACTTTCAGATTGCGCCCATAGGGCTAATAGGTAAAAGCAGTATTTATTTTTAAATACCTTCCTGCTTTACATGAGATTTCAGTTCCAAACAACATGCATCAGCATTTTTAAAAATCCACATGCAAACAGTATCTATCATCCAAACATCCTTTAAAAGCTCAAAGGCTGATTATACCAAAGCCAAGAAGTCAATCTGAAAAATATATTTCTAAATCATTCATAAGAAATACATGTTGCTGGTCCATTGATATGGAGAAAAAGCTTGTACCTGAAAGATTCATATTCAAAAAGATATGCTTGTCTGTTGAAAGGCAATATATTGCATCTCTCTACATAACTGCTGGTTCCACGGTCATCTTTACAGACACAACAAATCAGGGGTTTTGGAAGGGGTCTTTTTTTATTGGTTTTTGTCATTATTTGGTTTTGTTTTTTACAAGTATGGAAAAATTCCATTCACTCCTGAGTTAACAGAGAACGCAATAAAATGCCTACATTTTCTCAGTCTCAGATGAGATTTAGTGATGTCATTTCTAAAGGATGTGCATTTGAAGCATGAGGGTGGAAAAGGGAACCAGGTATAGCTGTATGTGGATATACATATATATATATGTATATAAACATATATACATATACATAAGGAATTGTGGGAGGAGCAGAGCAAGACGAACACAATAGCGCCGAAGCAGAAAGGCCGGGTGCAGGCAAGTCGATCCTAAGTGCAGGTGGGGGAAATGTGACACTCTCCTCCCACAACCTCTGCTCTCTCTGAAAGCTGCGATGAGAGATTCATCCTCAAAAGCATGTTTTGAGGCAGGAGCAGACAGCTGAGAGAAAACTGCCGTTCACTGAAGATCTTCACGCTACAAAAAAGGTATCAGATAAACTGGTAACGGAATTAGTGCATCTGGTGAGGACAGGAATCAGAACAAAGTGCATTTTGCAATAGCCAAGCATAGATTATTCTCCAGAAAGCAAATAAGGGAGGTCAGTAGCTGCACTATTCCATCATCGTGTTGGGGTGGAAATGGCCAGTTGAAACTAACTGGTATCTGCTTTCCAAAAACTGGTATCTGCTTTCCAAAAACTGGTGGACAGCTTGAATCCTCCCAAGTCTTCAAACGAAGACACAAAAACTGACAGCAGATTTCTCAACATTAATAGGAATAAAATAAAATCCTGGACAACTTCTAGGAGTTTAGCATGTAGATTTTCTTGAAATAAAACAGTAATTTCCCTGTGCTCTCCCAGAAATTGTGACAGAGTACATCATGTTTTGTAAGTAAGTCTTTGAAAAAATGAATCATCCACTTTCTTGGGACAGCATCAGAGTTCACTAAACATAAAAAGAACGAAACAACTCCTTTAGTAATACGTTAAGACACGTAACTTATCTGTGACCTGATTTTAAGGGCCTTTTTTTCCTATCATGGAAACTTGAGCAGTCTTAACATTGCTGTTTCTTTTTCACTGCCGTCAATTCTCTGTAACTGCAATGTTGTGAGCAAGCGCTCCCCTCCTCTTTCAAGAACAAAACCATCACAGCATCTGCTTCTCATAAGCACATTTGTGCGTGTGTATAAGTGTGCGTGTATGAGGGACAGAAAGAGGGAGAGAAGTAAATCTGGTGCATTTAACTTAAAAGTTTGTCACAGGGGAGGCTTTTTTCTTTCCCATCCTTCAAAGTATAGAACATAGAAGTAGAGCTACTGTTATGCATTTGTGGTTTTACTTTCAACTCACTTGTTAGCCAGGGGACACTTAGTGACTGAGGAAAAGAAATTCAATTTATTTCAATTGACTGGTGCATGAATTGCTATAGACGATAGTAAGTTTTTATTGGCACTTGTCTTCCAGAGCTTGCAGAGCAAAAGAAGTTCCTTCAGTACACTCACAGATTCAACAGTGAAAACTGGGCACATAACAGTAGTCCTTGAGGTGGAAGAGGCAATAGCATCACTGCATATTCATCCCCACTACCCACAAACTCAATAAAACAATCCAGAAAGGGATTCCAGTGCAATCTGTGGGCCTGTTTTTTCCTGCCTCATTCTGCTTTGACATCGATAGGAAACAGGAGGAGGTCCGTCGTCATCTGAACTTGCAAAGAGGAAGGCAATGAGCTGACTCCTCTTGATAGACTTGAAACTATTTCAGGAAGTCAATCACTCTATGCCTTTTCTTTTGCTCCCACCACCACCAAATTCTTCAGCCCTGAAGTTTGAAGTGGATACTTTGCTTCTTTGCTTTTCAGCCCAGGAGAAAAAATACAAATATAAAATAAAGCTTGGATTTTTTCCTCCCAGTATTTCTCATACTGCCAGAATTCCTAAGTCAGAACTCTTATTCTTGAGATATTTCCTGGGCTATACTGTCCTGAGAAGAAAGTGAACCATGGCAGCTATTACTACGATGCTTCCCATACAGTTTTCCAATTGCATTATGAATTCATTGACAAATTGAGGAGCTAGCTCCACCAGAGCAGCAATTGTCATGAGAGTGAAATCTATTAAGAGAAAGAAATGCTGATGGACTATGAAGATGAGGTGGAAAAGAAAACTCCAAACCCACTGCAATTAATACAGCATCCCAACAGAGAAACTATAACCCTACTATTTTAACGTAGTATTTAAGTATAGTCCATTCAGCACTTAAGACACTCTCAAACTTCAAATCAGCAAGGTACATACTTAAAGGTCTTGCCAAATTGTGATATAATCCTAATGCCTCCAGTGCCAGCACGTCAAGCCCTCTTATATGGCAAGGGAGAACGCTCAACACCTCATAGGATCAAGTTCAAAAAGATTGGAGAGAAGCAGCAGCGCAGGGAAGGAGGCCTGAATCTTGGAGTGGCATGCACATCCCAACACTTCCCCTCCCCTTTCACACACAGGTCCATGTGGCCTCCACCTGACAAACTTACATTTACAATGCTTGCTGCCTTAAAATTAAACTGTTTCTTATCTCAGTCATGTGTTTATGTCTTGGTTTCCATTTAGCTGGTTTGTCTTTCAGAGAAGGATGTCTGAAAACAGTGGTAACAGAAATACAATAGTTTATAACAGCCTTAGGAAATATTACAAAGGTACCCTGGGTACACAGAGCACAAAGGCAACATCTCCAAACAATAGCTAGGATCTGGCAATCCAGGCCCCGATCCTGCGTTTGGTCCCACCTAAGAGCATGCTGACACTCGCTGGAGTCGCTAAGGACTGGGGATGGAGGCTGACCCACCTCCAGCCCATCACAGGACTGGGGCTGTCAAGGGTAATCTTGTACCTCTTATTCAGGATCGGATCATGTTCACCCTGGCTTCAGCTAAAAACCTTATTATGCAAGTGAAACCCAAAGCCCAGACCAGAAATGAGGTTTCCCAAACACCTTGCAGAGCACTGTAGCTAGACCTGGCCATGTCATTTCCAAGGACAGACAGCAGCCAAGCCTGAATTTGTGCACACTGAAAACATGCAAGTTCTTAAAAAATTCAAGAGCTGCAGCTGGCGTCTCACAAGGCTCACAGCAGATCTTAGGTTAGACAAACAGTTTTTGAAGTCAACAGGAGTTGAAAGTTTCAGTGCTTCCCTTGAGGTGCTCGGCAGACAGCTCAGGCCAGTTGGAAATATTTTGTTTCCACAAGTCACACACTTTCATAAAGCTGACATTTCTTTCCTGAATATTGATGTTAGAAGTTACCACCCTCGAAATGGCTTAGCTGGAAGTTCTGCCTCTTGAGTCAAAATACGAGTATCCTGATACTCACGAGCACTATGACGGCCTGAAACATAACCCACAGGCTACTGTGTTCAATGGAACAGCTTCAATGGATCATAGATGAGGCCCAGACTCAATTCTGATTTCAATCCATAGAAGTATTTGGTCCATTTTGAAAGAATGGGTGGGTTGGAAATACAGTGCCTATAAGCCCAAGCTTTGCCCCATGCTAAAGCTGTTTGCAAGTTTCTGACAATCAGCACAGCACAAAGCCACCTTTAGAAGCAAGAAAATAAAAACCACCCTCACTACAATCCCACTCCAGGAAAAATATTTGGCTGAAACTTTAGGTGCGAATTACACTTGCTTAAGCTAGAACAATAGGACAAAAACATCAAAATCTAGTGATGTGGAAAGAAGGAAGGTTTAGGTCTTCAAAAAGAAAGGATAGACAGACATTTGAGGTAACAAACGAAAAAACCAAAATGCACAAACACATCACAGACATCTAAAAATAGCATTTTATACTTTTTTTTTTGCCAGTGCTTCTCTGAGAGCAAGTTCTTTAAACAGAACTTAACAATTTTACAATTTTTTTTTAAAAAAATATGTCATCCTAAAATAGCCCATCGATCCTTACCCAAACTTTCTGTATTTCTACAAAAATAGACGCACAAAGAGCTACAAAATACTGTATTCCTGAAAGGAGGCGCACTGTAGTCAACGGAGAGTCTTTTTCCTGACAATTGAGACTGTTCAAAAAATATCAAGCTGAACAAAACGAAACACTGTTAAAGGAGCAGAAAGGAGTTAGGTTGCCCAGCTGCAGCAGGCTCAGATGAGGAAAGAAAGAAAAGTTAGGGTTTTGTTTTTTTCCAACACTGTGGGACCCATAAACGGCCTTACAAACAAAAGGCTCAATAGCAAAACCAGAATGGTTGGCTCTTCATCTTCATGTGTGTCCTTTGCCCCATGGAGGAGTCAACGACTCTTATATCACCCGCCCAGCTGCGCTGACTCCAGCTCTAGCTGGTCTTAATTTATCTGAGCTTCAGAACCAAGAAGTTTCCTTGTTCTTGTCCTGATGCTGTAGACCTACATTTCAGAAAAGAAAAGATGGAAATTAAATTTGATACAGCTTTTTCCTCCCCCTCCCCAAGCAACTGAAGTAAAGATAAACAGATCTTGATTTAAAAAAGAGAAAAAAACCCCATAACCTACCAGCCTATTGGACTTGGTAGTAATATTGCTGTTGCTCCCAGGTTTTTTAGTGTATGTGGGATAAACTTCAACCACTCTTAAGTCCTAGACTGGCTCAAGTGGTTCGGGAACACCGATAAAACGTGTGCGCTTCCTTGATTTGACCTCATCTGGAGCGTGGCATTTTTCCTGACAGAGGCCAGCCACAGACCCCATCTCTTTTAGGAAAGGCCTGGGACACTTTGGGATCTCACAGTTTCTGTGGCATTTCACCTTACAGATGAGAGGGGGAAAATGTTCCCCAGCATGTAAAAAAACCCAAGTAACTTCACCTACAGAGTGTTAGATTTTTAGCCAAGAACAGCTAGTACTTCCACATGGGAAAAATTAATGATTCTCAGATTGCATTTATTATGAGTTCCTCCAACATTTTCCTTTAAAAAAAGTGAGGACTATCTAATAAATGTGGTGCTATGTTGTGGCTTTAGCATTATAGGCTTGGAACTTGTGTTATAATCTGGGATTTCTCTGCTCCAGAGGGATTCAATCTTTGCTAGATTTATGCCCAACGGGGTGTATACCTAAAATCCAGACAATAGAGGGGGAGGTGAAGATTTAACTTCCCAAAGAATCTGCTCATTTATAGGGAAAGTAAAAAGAAAAGAGGCGCAGGCACATATTTTCAGAGGTAGCAAGGCACTTAGGCTTGATTTAAAACCTGCCCCTTGATGTTTCTGAGCCAAGTAAATCACATTTTGTGAAATGAAGGTGCACTTCCCACTATAAATCATCATTGCTACACAGACAGCAGTGTTACAAGCAGTTAAATATTTAATGACAATGAGCATCATTTCAGAGTTGAGTTACAAAGCAATTAACAGTCACATAAAAGATGGCAACATAAGGCTTTATCCATGGGAGGATTCCTAAGTAGCATCCAAAGTGGACACGTGTGTTCAGCAAACAGATAAGAAGAGTGCCTTTAGACTGGAAAAACTGGGATATCCCTTAACCAAAGTACGCCTATAAAAACATGTTCAGAGGCTCTTTACTCAATGACGATGTCTCCTTGTTGCTTAAGAGTTGCTTTCTTTTCCTGGCAGCATCATTCGCAGGCAGAGCTATCATAAACTGCTGTTAGTTTCCTTCAAAGCTCTCTCAAAGGTAATGATGACAATTTTGTGTTAGTTTTCCCCTGCTGTTTACAATGTTTTTAAACAAAGATGACAAAGTAAAAGAGTCAGACAGCAGAACAGCAGAAACCTTTCAGTAAAGAAGTCATTTAAGTTCACCTTAAGTTCACCATTGAACACTGAACGCCACCAGAGGCAGTGGAAGACTGTGAGAAGAGAAACAGGTTTATGTCTCCTAGCAGCTTAAAAAGAGACACGCAACCCTGTTTAAGAGGATGTCCACCTGATAGTAGAAGGGAAATAACCAGCTGAACAGACACCTCCCTACTTAGGTATCTTTGGAAAAAGCAGAAATAACTACAACGATGAGGTTTAAGGTATAGCTATTAAGTCTAAACAGCCAGAGGAAACAGTCAAAAACCCTGAAGTTGCCTTAGTTACAGAACTGAATGTGGAACACTTTCCATGCCTTTTCCTCATTATATTCCCATCTCCTTCATGGTAAGGCTATCTGCAGTCCTAACATGTCCTGCTCCTAACCGAGAGCCTTCACTCGCAGCCTGCTGCGGGAACGTTTGCCTCTTAGTAAGGACACCCTTGCCTGCATTGCATGAGTCAGTACTGCCACACCAGAAAAGCTCCCCGTCTCTGGGATACCAACATTATAGCTAATTGCCACACAAGCAGAATGCAGGTTCTGTGGGAACATCTAAACAAATTCAATGAGTAGTGACAAACTCATGGGGTGTGTGTGAACAGAAACAACCCTACAGAATGCAGCAGACTAACCACTCAAATCCCCTATTCAAATGACACGCTGACGTACAGGCATTTCCAAAAGTGGATGTTCCATAATTAGCTGGGACCAGAGGATGTTGATTAATTCATCTAAATTTAAAGTTATGCACCTCAACGTGCATAACTCTGCATGACAGCGGATGTGCACCTCAGTTTTATGATAGACGTACAGCCCTCAGATATGTCAAAATCCTGCTCTGCTTCTAGTGTGCTGAAGCTACAGGAAGCCTCCTCCAGCACATGTATCCAACAGTAGGACAGGATAACCTCCTAGGCTCTGCAGGAGCAGGGCGAGTTGCTCTGCTGTCCTCGCCATGGGGCTGGCAGTTGCCAGTGCAGCCAGAACCAACTGATCACCTGAAGTGCCTGGTGTGCTGGGCATCCTCCCGCCGTGGTCCTGAGGCCATAACCATCAGCTCCACTGCAAAACAGCATTTCCCCTCCCCACCCCCTGGTATTAAGTTCTCAACTCAACATGTGTACCCTTAACTCAAACACGAGGATTAAGCCCCGACGCTGTGGGATTATGGCTGCAGCAATGCTCTCTGTACATATGTCCTGAGCTGCAATCAGTGCTGTTAGAGGCTGACTTTGCTTTGCTTGACGTCAGCGGGGCAGGGAATTGTTCCCTAAAGCACAAATGTGCTGTGCTTATATCAATGTGTTTATACCAATGCTTGAGAAAAACCCATACTTTCATATTGAGCATTACAGCTAGGGAACTTCAGCTTTGCAAAGACACTGCATACAGGCAGCCATTAATGTAGTAAGTTTAAACAGATTTTGATGTAAACTAGCATTTTCTTTAATCCCACTTGTACCAATAAAGAAGCTTCTAAAAGGGTTAATTTGCAGCACACAATGTGAGGATTAAACCACATTTAATGGGAATCAGTTAGCTAAATCCCTCTTCATCCTCTAAAACAGGACCGTGTAAGTTCAAACAGATGTGCAAGGCAGATCAATACTTTGTTAGCTCTCTGAACAGTGACACGCTGATGTCCCACACAACCTGCTCTGAAACATAAATTCCCAAACTATCCCATGCATGCAAAGCGAACTCCCTCTTAACCTTTGAAGTGATTCAGCATCATCCATTCATGAGATCGGGTATTTGACTTAGTAAGGCAGAAGATGCCACAATGTAGCTGGAAGAGGGTAGGATTACAGCCAGCCCGCCCTCATCCCAATACTATCATTCAATTTAATTCAGCGTGAGGAATTTTGCAAATGTTTCTATAATTGCATGTGACAGTAGCACAAGAAATGTGACCCAAAGTAAGGCGGGGGGGATGATTTTTGTATCTTAAGGGCTCTGAAAAGCACTGTCTAGGTATATGCCAAATGAGCTTTTTTATCTAAATCATCTGAAACTCATGCAATCCGATATACTGACAGCTCCACAGGTTGATGTCTTTTGTTCTCTAGGGACATACGAGCAAAGACTTCCAGAACTGAAGTTTTCTTGCCACTGTAGCCTTAGCCTACTCTGGAACAACCACTTCTATGCTGCAGAAAGACAGCAGACTCTTCCAGGCTCTTCAGTTTTGAGCTTCTGTTGAGATTGCTGTCTCATATGAGAGTTAAATGTATACGAAATTCTGTGTGATTATATCTTTTATAATAGATAAAAGGATTATCTATTCTACTAGATAATCCTACTAGACAATAGTAGCATTATCTAGTATAATCCTACTACGCTGGAGTGGACACGGAGCAAAAAAAGCTTAACGTGTGCTGATGCAACTCAGTGTGGTGCTTCAGCAGCCCCCTTCCCTCCCCAGTAGCAAAACACACCTTCCTTGGGATGACACCATTTGACACGCATGCACAATACTGGGGCAATTAAGCTCCCTCTTTTCGGCATGATCGTGCCTCGAATGCCTGTCACCAAAACATTTGTTTCAAACATACAAGCTGCAGGGAAGGTTGAAAAGGGAGCTCAGAGCCTGCCCTTCCTTCTGCTTGGAGACCACAGGAGAGATGAGTGTGCAGGGTAAGAAAACAACTGTAATGTCACAGGCTACTGCTACCTGCTGTGTTTCACTATTTGCTCCCTTATTTCCAAAGCCTTAGATGCCAAAGTCGGGCTCCTGGATAAGGTTTTGCTGTTGTGTTTCAGTGTATGGCCATTTTGAACACTCACAAACACGTGAGACATTGGTCTGCTGAGACCCTTTGTGCGTGCAAACCAGTCACACATCTACCCTCTTTCTTTCCCTCCCCAGGATCTCACAGACTAAACTGCACACACCAGGCATGGGCCAGAAATTAACTGAGCAAGTCCTTTCAACTGCTTCCCGTCCTGAGTAGACAACTACAAGACATGTAAGCCACTGTTAACCCCTGCTAAGTCAGGATCCTAACAAAAATTAGCATCCAACTGTAGTCCTTCATAGGGATCTTCACAAGGAGCAGGCAGCACCAAGAAAAGACTATGTTAGCCCTGTAGTGTTAGGACCCACAGTCCTTTTTGGGGTATTGTGGTCTTGCAGAAAAAGAGAAAAAGCACCTGCTTTGTTAGACATTACTACCAACAAACTAGCAGTAAGCAAACCAATTTGCCCCGCACTGAAACAATTCACAGTCTAGTTTGGATTTATACCTAAGTCAGGTAGTGCTTTTTCCTAACAATCCCTTACACAATTCTTGGCTCCATCTCCAAAAGGTAAGTCAAACACCAGAGCTCTGGAACTGAACTGCTGGGGCTACTGTCAGACCAAGGGGCTCATCCCCCTTACCGGTGGCAGTGACAATTTGCTTGTGTAAAAGAAGGCAGTTCATTCCCATTAAGGAATTTGTCAGAAGGACAAAACTTGAGATCCCAGTCTTGTCAGATTATCATTTTATACCCAAAAGCTTAAAATGTAATTCCTCTTGTATCACTGGCATGGCTGGAAGTGTTACTAAAATACACAAAATTGTCCAGTGTTAAGGCAGCAAGTGTCATGGTATTTAGAAGAGATTATTGGTTCCTAGTTGATATTAAGGGAAAAAAAGACAGGTTTGTATTAGGTTCATAGTATTTCATATGTAAGAAACAGCTTTTTTTTATTCTCTGCCAATTCTTTGCTCCCCTGCACAATAATCAAAGCAAGGAAGTACTTCTCACGCATCGAATCAGTTAGCTAGAACTATCAAGAAGAGAGACAAACTGATGCTTCTAGGAAAAGGGAATAGATATTAAAACATAGTATTTCCTTAATAAATAATATAAAGTGTTTAAGAAGTACTAATCTGCATGGATTGCTGCTGGTGAGAAAAATACCAAGCGTTAAAAGGACACCTCAGTAGTGCAAATGAGCTCCGGGATGGATGCACTGGAAACTGCCAGCCACCCATCACCCCATCACAAGCGACTGTGGACAGTGAGGGCTGCTAGACTGCTCCTGATCCTGAGATGAGAGCCTGCCAGTCAAAGCCTGCAGATGTTGATATAACTCACGGAGGCTGCCCTGTGGTTAGAGATCCTGCAGTAAAATAAATCTAATTCGCAGACCTCTGCCAGTTTAGGTTGATGGTGAGCACAGCTTGAGCAGCATCTCCACTGTCTATGTGACTCCTGGATACTACACAGGAAGGAGATGCTGGTTCGTTCCAATTTAGGTGAGTAAGGTGCAATCCTCATGTACTGATGAATTATTAGTTCAGTCCTCACTGGAGCTACATTTTGGTGAATGCACGCATGAGCTGGCTGAACAAGCTTGAAGCTTCCACGTGGAAGTTTAATTAACCATTTCCCACAAGATTTAAACAAAAAAGCCCCTGCATATCATGTCGTAACTCATTTGGCTTGAATAGGACCAAGGCAGACAGAAGTCTCTCAGCAAAAGGCAGTGAGAGCTGGCTGTTTCACACCTCATCTGCCTTGACAGTAATTTCAGGAGGGATTCCCACCTGGAAATATATTTGGAGAAAAGGCTCTGAAAACAAGCCTGACAAGCTTCAGCTGCAGGGAGTCCCCTTCTTTGCTCAAATTCCTCCTGCTAAAACAAGTCACAGACCCAATCAAACCATCTTACCTGTGTCAAACCCAAAACTTGGCACAATGTCCACCGTTCCATGAAAGGCTCCAGCCCATGCTGAGGTAGCGCTGGTGACAGCAGTGGGATCTGTCTTTGTCACGTCACACTGGGGAGCAGGAATCCTGGCTGCACGGACTGAAGGCATCAGCAGGGACCCGTACCGGGGGTCACGGTGTGAGCTGGGATGGTGATGGTGCATGTGTGGATGAGGGTGATGGCGATGCATGTACACGTCATGCATGTGTGCATACGAAGGGCTCACCTGAGATGCTAAAGGATAATGCCAGGATTCGGATGCAGCAGGGGGAGGAGGTGGGGCAGTCTGATGAAGGCCGTGTCCTGGCCAGCTGCTGGGATCTGGTGCTGAGAAGGTGCCTGGTGCAGTAACGGGGAAATCGTGGTGTACTCCACTTAAGCATGGTGGAGGTGGAGGCTGATAAGAGCTGGTCCAAAATGAAGTTGGGAAACTGCTCCTTTGGCTTGAAATTGTTGAGCTTTCTGGAAGAGAGCAGAGAAAAGAAGTATGACTGAGGATGAACAAAAAATTTAGTGATAAGAACCCGACAATGATTTTCTACTCTCTGAAATTTGTAACACTGAACTCAAGGTTCCTCAGCAATTACAGAATCACAGGTAGGAGGGGGCCTTTTGAGATCATCTAGTCCAACCCCCTTGCTCACAAGAAGCAGGTTGTCCAGGGCCATGCCCAGTCAGATTTTGAGTGATGCAAACTCCTCAACCTCTCTAGGCAACCTGTTCTTCAATTTAGCCACCCCCAATAACTGTCAAAAATTGTGTTCAGATGGAATTTCCTGTTTTCTAATTCGTGCCTATTGCCTCTTGTCCTGCCAGCAAGCGTTGCTGAAGAGAGCCTGGACCCCCCATCTTCATTCACCCTCCCAGTCAGTCATATACACATATTGATAAGATCCTTCCTGAGACTCTTCAGGCTGAAGAGTTGCAGCTCTCTCACAATCTTGGTACAGGAATTATGAGGACAGGCTAACTCCTGACCTGAGTGGAACATATCATTCAGAAAAGCAGCTGTTGTGGCTGTAAATGTTTTGGAGGACAGAGAACCAGGTCACGCTGCAGAATAGGAGACATCTGGCTAAAGGAAGAATACCAGGTCTTCTCAAACTAATAGCATGCTGTGATGGGATAAAGATCATATCTAACGCACCACCATCCCTGGCAGTGTTCAAGTCCAGGTTGAACAGGGTCTTGAGCAACCTCGTCTAGTGGAAGGTGTCTCTGGCCATGGCTGGGGGGTCGGAACTAGATGATCTTGGGGTCCTTTCCAACACAAACCATTCTGTGTTTCTGTGGTTCTATCTTACGTTATTTGCTGACAGAATATATCATGTTGCCCTATAGCAAATAGGATCAGACCTGCAGACACATCTAACTGAAAGAAGCTTTTGTCAGAAATAAAAGATTCACTGCTCCTTACAGCTAGGGCTCAACTTACATTTAAATGGATTCCAATACATCTTTGTTATGAAATCACATCCTAAAAATTCCTCTTTTTAAGGAGCGGTTAGTGTTTTTGATGTGTAAGAAACTATTGGCATCTCCATTCTCACAATCCTCTTGCCAGCTGATGTTTGAAAGTACTGCTTCGTACAATATGTCTTAGCTCTAATAGGGGTTTTTTTTTTGGTCAAAGATGGAAACATAAAAATACAGGACTTCACCTCGGATGAAAGAAAAGTCGTAAAAATAGCCTACAGAGAAATAAAGCCAGAGGAGTTTAATATTCGATGAGGAGAGGAATCCTCTGTTCCTCACATAACATTCACAAACATATTTATATTAATTTTTATAAATGACCTTTTGTTTTGCTTTGCTTAATAAGCAACTGGAATGAGACTTGGGTGAAGACACCATTGAGGATGAACAGATTCTTCAAACACTCCTGCCTCTCTACTTTGCTTACCCAAAAGTATTTTGGAAATTAAAACTGTTTTCTGACTGCACCCCTACGACATTCATGCTGTAAATCCATTAAAATCACAGCAATTTTTCCACACATCGACTGGATTTGATTTAGGCAGTTTCCTGAGCCCGATTAACATCCAATATTGGAAATAAACTTTGCAAACGCACTATGGACAAATGTAAAGAAGTTCTCTTTGTGCCAAACTTCTTCAGAGGCTGCACACAAACCGTACACAAACTGTACTCCAGCAGGGGTTTCTTCAAAAGTCTCCTTTTTTTGGGCAATGTATTTCCATTGTAATTCATGCTAGAAGACTGAAGAGAGCTCCAAGCATATTACAGAGGCCTCAGCACCCCTCTGAACTTGGTATTGTTCCTTGTTTGTAAATTGTTCCTTGTTACAAGGGATTAGGCTGAGATGGAGAATGCACATGGCTTACAGTGTTGGCAGCAGGGCTGACAAAAAAAAGGCAAAATCAAACTTCATCATGTCCAGCCTCTTGTTTTCCTCACTGCTTAACAGAGGAGCGCAGCTTGACAATTGCCAGCATTCTGGAAAATTAACCTGTGAAATCAAGAGCTTTTGGAAACTATCTGGCTGCTATCTGCATGGAAAAGTCCTAAATCCAAACCATCCCGCTTCAAAACAAACACAAAAACCCAACTCAGAAAACCACAAAGTACCTTCAGGACAATTTTAATACCAGGAAAGAACACTTTAAACCACTGGATTTGCCAGCATGAATTCATTGCAGGTTGTATAACGGCTTGGCTTTCCTATCATGCTGAAGGTCTATGCCACCGAAAGGACGTTTGGTCATCTCCATTTTCAAACCTGTGCACATTTCACAATGCCATTACCACTGTCAGAAACTGCCATGGACCAGCCCCCACTGTGACACCATTGAGTGTAACTGCAGGGGCCAACCTCACTGGCCAAGGGCAAGTCACATCACTGGAGATACAGGGTCCATCCAGGTTATATGAACAAGGAAGAAAAGTTCATCCACCCCGAGTGCTCAAAGAGGATGCTACTAAGTATTAAGTGTGCAGCAATCCCATCAACAAGAATCATCTCTGTGTTGAACAATCCACGACCACCACATATTTCCATGGTGTCTGAAGTGTCTCCTTTCCGTCCCACCTTTAAAACAGCAAGCACAACCCATTATCTTTGCAGATAGCATCATGATGGGACATGGCAATGGAGAAACAGTCTCCTTGAGAAAGAAAAGAACCAATCTGAATAGCTTCCATGGCCTTTCAGGAGAGGGAAAGGAGGCATTTAACAAACACCGTCTGCCAAGAAAGATGCTGCAGTTACCACAATTTCCTATTCTAAGCACAGGAAGGTGGCAACATCTGAGATACCACAAAGTGGTGACTAATGTAAATGTTCATGGTGGATGTCCAACACGCTCTGAAAACTTGCCAAAGCGCACATATTGTAAAGAAGACAATGTATGGAATTTTCTGTAGTACAACATTACTTCTCAGTTAAGGTTGGAGGAGGGGGGGTAAGAAAAAGAAAAAAACATTAAGGTATCATTAGTTTCATTAGCACCTGCAGAAGATTTCAGGTAAGCTACACCCACAACTGAACATTCAATTCTATGTTACCAAAGTTTTACAGTAAGTCAGGTTTAAAGTTCATTTTAGCCTAAACTGATTAGTATTGTCCACACACAAGTTGCTGTCTCTTTTCAGGACAACAAGTTCTATTTTCTAAACATAAACAAAATCCCTTCTTGACAAAACACCCCCCGCCCCAATATCACCTTAATGAGGAAATTACAATTTGCTCTTCCATCAGGACACTAAAAAACACCACCAACAATACAGCAAGATGAAAAAGAAAGGCAGAACACATTATTAACCCCTCCTTTCAGACAGAGGAGAAATAACGCTGTGAGCTGAACAGCCAGTTCATGCCCACCCACACTGCATTTAAATTTATACCTTCTAAAACAGCTATTGCAAATGCAAAAGCTTTTTAATTTATCTTTATTTATTGACAAAAATTCCGAGTACCCATGAAGGGTATTTATAAAATATCTTCAAGTTAATGATACTTTAACTGCTTTAGGTAGTGGGATACAAAATCACATTCATCTGCTGTAACTGAGCATCTTTGACAGGAACCAGAAGACCAAATCGTCAGCATCGTTCCTTCCTGACTTCCTTCAAGCAGGCGTGTTTCAGAAACTCATCTGGGGCTGATGAAACTCTTGTCAGCTTCTCTTTGGAGAAGCAAACACCCGCAGCTTCCTCAGCGCACACAGCACAGAACCAAGCAGCCCTGCCCAGCAGCCTCCCCAGGGATTCTCATACCACTCCAGCAGGTGCAGCAACAGCAGAAGGCATATCCCCTTACTTTATTCCCAGAAGACTTGCAGGACACTCAGACCTCAATTCCCCACTGATGGCACAGGGCACACAAGGTCAGGAGGCAGCGTGGCTCAGGAACCTTTATGTCAGGCCACCCTGTTCCCTGCAGAGCTCCCTCGGGAAAGCTGTGCAACCACAGGGCAAGGCAGGGGTAAACAGTCTGAGGCCAGAGAGAAGACACACAACCCCATCCATGGTATGCCCTCCAAGCTCAGTGAGGAGGGCTTGCTGTAGGCATGGTGCCTCTGGGGACTGCTTCGATCCCACCTCTGAAACATTTATAGCCTGTCTGGGCCATTTATAAATGCTTTAGTCTCCTTTTTAGTAAGCATAGGTTCAATCCTGCTCTCAGTCGAGTCAATGGAAAATTTCCTATTAACATTAATGGTCCCAGCTCAAGGCATAAATTCCTCTAGCTCCCTAGCCACTTGTGCTGACCTTTGCTTAAACTTCCTCAGAGTTGTCATCATCCTTCTGGAAAGCAAGTCGTTCTGTGCTATTTTTCTCTTCACAGTGGTTTCCAAAAATCCTGTCTTTATTATCTGCGACTTTCATCAACACGCTCGCACCTCAACATCGCCGACTGTGAACTCCACCACTCCTACAAGGATCCTCATGGTATCTTTCTCACTCAATCTGATGCGAGGCCACGGCTCACGATACTTAGTTCGTGTTCCTCTGCCAGTCCACGTAAGGACATGATCAGAAATAATGCAGGTGTGGATCTGAAAAGCTACCCAGACTGCCAAAAGGAAATAGCATCTTACTGGCATGCTTTCTCCAGCCACCACTTCTGAAATCTTATCTGTAAGGTCTACCTAGTATATCTGACAAGATCTGCTCTTGTTATGTTGTTCTTGCTTATATGCATACTAAGACATAAATGTTATGGCAGTGTGCAAATGGTCTTGCAGTACCTACCATGTCTCTGTTCCCTGCTCCGAAGCAGAGTAACATCATCCCCACTTTACACACAGGAAGCCAGTTAACAATGGCCGTGTCGCTCCGGTGAGCTCTGCCTATGGGCAGGCTGCAATGCACCACACCACACGGCTGCAGCCACGCTGGCCAGGGTTTGCACTTGAGCCTGTTCCAGCTTGGGCTGGCTCCCCCACACCTGGAAAGCAGCCACAGATGAATCTTAATCACCTGGCAAAGTCACCCGCAGAGGCTGCATGGGTCTCCTCACGTTCAAGGCCAGCATCCCAAACAAGCTTTGCTCTTGTCTCACAGGCCAAGTTTCACACTTGGAGCTTAAAAATAAGCCTCCAACCTCCACCAGACATTTGTGAAGCCTCGTGAGCTCTGCCCTGTTCCTCCCAGGTCTCGGCAGAGCCGCAGGTTATGGCAAGAGAGGGAGACGCCTGTTTCTTTCATGCCTTTGGTGCCTCTTTTCCCGATTAACACTTCAGATCACTCAACCCCAAGAAGCTCCTCAGTTCTTTCAAGTTTGAGGGGGATTTTTTTCCCCCTCCACAGAGGACTAAAATTTCAGCTGCAACGCAATATGCATTACGGTGACACAAACTGGATAAGCCACACCACAGACAGCAAGTTGCTTATTGCTCCTCTTACCTCTCCACAGAGGACTTAGCCCTGCCTTGCTCTTGGTAAGGGCAGTTTCTGGATTGAAGCTACTGGCTTGGCTCAAAGCTCTTGAAAAGTGTTCATCCACAACTGAACCAATATCTCCCTGGAAGTAAGTGAAAAGGACGCAGCGAGAGTTAAGGTACTCCATCTCAGCAGGCTGGTCTTTCTCATCCTCCTCTTGCTTGCTGGGAAGGGTCACTTCCAGAGACTCCTGCATCTTGTTGTATACAGCTAACTTCTTCTGGGATTAAAAACAAAACAAACAAGACATGTATTAGTGATGGCATTGAGTGCAAGCTCAACATCTGGTTTCCTTGTAGAAAAATAACTCAATACCTTGAATATTCATTTCATAATTGCAGCTGGAATACAGGGATATTTTGCACTGATATTTCACAAAGAGGAGATAACCAGTGCTGCTTAGAGTCTTTATTCCTCGCACACAAATGGACCTGCTTCTCAGACACGTTTCACAACCACTATTTATCAGCAACCACTTTCACTCAATACCTTCAGAAGAAAACACAGGCTCTAACATTCCATTCCCAGCTCACACCGGGAAAGGCTATTCCCACCAGTAAAGGCTACAGAGGTCGAGTCCAGCCTTGTGGAAGGATGGCCAGATACACAGCGTCTGCGTTTCACCCATCCAGCTGAACGTGCACCAGGTTTTGCTAGCAGCACTCCCCCCATTGAGAGTACATGAGCCTCTGGACTCCACACATCTACTCGCTGCTGAAGGTGTAAAGAAGAGGAGAATTTGGTGCTTCCTGAAACATTTTCCAGTGCATTATCAAAGTCCTCAAATTACATATATTTTCGTTCACTACCAAGAATTTTTTTACAATAGGAATCTATATCTCAGGGAGGTGATTGAGTTGGGAGGAAAGTTTTGGGCTTTCTCTTGGTTGGTTGGGTCTGGGTGTTTTATTGTTTCGGGGTTGGGGTGAGGGTTTTTTTTCCCTTTTCCCTTTTTCTTTTTTAAACAGCAGCTTGTGGAAAAAAAGGACAAAAATTCAAGTAATAAAAAAACGAGCATGTGATGTGGGGGAAGAAGGGGATTGACAAGTCTGCAAACACATGCAAAAAAAATCTGCCCCAAACCAAAAACATAGAGAAGCATATAAAAAATAAAACCCGCACAAGCCATCTGTGAATGGCTATTTCAGAATCTCTTTCTCTCTCTCTCTCAAATCAAACCTAAATGTCAAAATAAATGTGTGTGAAGATCCATTTTGCTTGGAACGTGTTTTTCAGATGTTCCACTTTACAACTGTTTTCACAGAAAAAAGATCTCCCCACAACAGTCAAGCTGCAGGAATCATAGCTTTCAGCTAGCTAGCCATTTCCACAGCTGACTTTGCACACAAGCCGCTTCAGGAACCCAAAAACCACTACGGCACATATGTAGAAATATTTCATAGCTTTTCTATAGAATTTCAGTTTGACTTATCTTTTATGGTTTGCCTGGCAACACTTTAGCACCATCAGATTCTCTTTAAGTTTATGGCTTTTTTGCCTTTTTCCAAGGTTGTTCTATAGAAAAAAATTAAATAACTAAACAGTCTATAAAGTTCCATTTATACATTTGTCCAATTTAGAAATAACTGAAAGTCCTTTTCCAATCTTGTATACCACCAATATATTTACAGCCAGCGCTTTCTAAAATCACACAAGCTGATATAAATTATCTCATTGTGATACAAAATAAACGGTTATTAAAAAAAAATAAACTGCAAGAAAGAGCTGTTGACAAGCGGAATTAAAACCTGTAATACTAAAAGCTTATAGCAACTAAGCAATGTATCTGACATTACAGTAGATTAACTGATAAACATAAACCAACTCAGGAATACCTTTAACTTTGATGCTGCTGCATGAACTGCAATGGGGATGGAAGTAATTTTTTTTACCGTTTGGGATATCCAGACAACAGTCTGGAATTTAATTAAATCTGTGCTTCACAAAGCAAGTTATACCACGGCTCTACTTAGCACAGTATTACTTATTTAGACTTACAGTTGTATCCCAAGAGCCCATAATATACAAAGAAAAACTGTGGGATTCACTTAAAAAAACCCCCGAACAAATAAAACCAAAGATGGAAAACACAAAAAAAAGTTTTACTAGAAACTAAAATTGCAAAAATGAAACACAATCTGAGGCTCTGAAACATATTTTTTGCAAATGCAGATTTTGGGGTGACCTATACCTGTTTTTGTAAATGCTTCGTGCCTTTTGTCAACAAACAAACAAACAAAAAGCATCCTCATGTTTGTTCCTGAAGTGCTTACCAAGATATCATTCATATCTTAGTAAGTTTGTAAGTACGTACGTTCTGCTACGGGCTTTTGCCACAAGGTAGTAGCAGAACGACGGGACCTTAGCAAGACAGAAACGGTGATAAAATTATTGCACATACATGAGACATATGCATTAGAAATCTGTAACACATACATACCTCAGCGACTCAATAATTCTTAAAGGTGCACCATAACCCAGATCCTCTTAAAAATGCAGGACAAGTGGTAAGGAAGGGTGGGGTTTTCAGTTTTGGTTGGGTTTTGTTTTTTACGCAGAGACAAAGTATGAAAGAGATCCTTTATAGAAGTCTCTAAATAGATATTGATCTATTTATTACATCTTAGGTGCACTGTATATGCCACACCTTAAATCCATGCAACACACTTTAAGAGTTGACTTCTATCATTATAGGTACACTATTTGCATTTATAGTGCAAGAATGCAAATACATACACAAGCACGCAATTATATACAGAAACACATCATTTAATATAGCCCCTGGCTTGACTGGGTTATCAGGAAGGAAGTCTTTCAATGTTCCTATATAGAGACTGGAGCTCAGGAAATTAAAACTTATCTCCAGAGTCGCTTCTCTGTGCAGGAATGTTCCCCCTTCCACGGCCTAAGAATCTAATTCATTTTCCATTTCAACTCTCTTCTCCCCAGTCCATGGGAAGTCATTACAAGGTGCTCTGAGCACTTGCTGCTTTTGAAAACATCAAATCTGACCTATATTTTTTTAATGTAAGTAAAAGATGGTAGTACTGAAGGGCAAAATCTAATTAATTTGTATTTCAGGAAGAAATTGTCAGCCTGTAATCACAGGACTCTTTAAATAAGAGACTACAGTGAGAGAAAGTGATTCAACAAGTTTTCTTTCTATGCAACATATATACATCCTTTCCATTGTATACATCTTTTAATAATGATGTCTTTTCTCCCCCACCTCCTTTAAAATACCCTGTCTGCACACAAATTCCATATTGCTCCTTCTGACCTTAAGAGTAATCTTCCGATAGCATTTCTGACTGCACTTGGGTGAGTGGAAAAGTATGCAAGATCATCAACTGCCAAATGAATCTGTCCCACCACCGGGGGTGGGGAAGAGAGGGAAGCAGGGTGGGCAAAAACAAACACAAAAACCCAGGTTAGGTTTCTGGTAACTAATCTGGACTAGTCCAGTTTCACTTGTACTTCTCTTACACAAACAATTCTGGCATATATTTAAGTAGCCAACAGTATCTGTAAGATCATTACAAAGAGTGTTTTCTGTTCAAACACAATATTATTTCTTGCCTATGTTCACCAATGCTTTAATATATTCATGAAATCCACCTCTCTCTTCCTTACAAACTAGAGAACGACATTAAGCAGCCTCTGAAGAACAAAACAAAACAAATACACAAGATCTCATCTTGGCCAAGACCCAGAATACAGAATTAAAAGTCAGTTTAGCATAGTGGGAAATAGGGAAATTCAGTGTCTATAGCACCTGATGCCATCTTAAACAATAGACCCCAGTTCATGGCTGAAGGATGAGTGGCATAACCTTTGGGTAAACACTGCTGTACAGCATGGGCTGAATTTAGCTTAAATCAACATCATTTTAGTTATTTCATATATTCACAAACAGGCTTTACCAAAGAGAGTTTAAACTCTTAACTGCAAGTTGCCTAACAAAAGGAGGCTAAAGGTTAACAGCAAATTACTGCTAATATGGGAATATTAAAGAGAAGGCTTATGCTGGATCAGTACCATCCTCTTTTCTGACAGAAAACTGACCACTTTTTGACCAAGAAAGCATGTGATCCATAATCTCACACAAACCCCCCGCCTTGAAGATTCCTGTTACTTTCTGACATACCCTACGAGGAACCAAGCAAAATGGTTCCCATGCACTGAAATTCTGGCCACATTAAAGCCAGTGGCAAAAGTCCAACTGACTTCAAGGGTCCCGGATCTCACCCAGGGTGTCTGGTAAAAATGTCAGAACATTCCTCTTTGCAAGCTGAAAAAAAGCCTCACTTCCAGCTGAAACCAGCTAGTAGGCAGCAAAGCAGCCAAACAGCCAAGCACAGCTGAGAACAGAGAAAGTTTGAGTTAAGCCAAGTTTGCATAAAAAATTCAAGCCAGCTCTTATTTTTCATATGAGCTGGTTGCCTATTCCTACAACTTATTATCTCCATACATGCCATCATACAGCATATGGTCCTTTACGCTCCCAAGCATGAAAGTCTGGTGTGCCTGCGGCCACCTGTTACAGATTTTCCATTATGAGAGAAAGAACAGGAACCAAAAATAAAGAATAACTACACTGAGGAAACACTATATGACCCCCTATCCTGAGAAAAAGGCTGTCATTTGACATAAGCTTCTGAGAAGGAATTCCAGCAACAAACTCGAGGCAAATCACGGACAGTCCCCCATTTGTGGAGCTGCCTGCCAAGCAAGCTCCCATTGATAACACAGAAAGTATTCAAGGAAGAAGACAATTTCAAGCAATCAGGGTATCGAATGCAGCGTTTGAAAGCGGTATTTATGGCATGCCCTCAAAACATGGAATTCTTACTTTGACCCTTGCAGATGAGCAAGCCAAGCGCAAAGCCACATGGTTGCTTTCAGGTGAACCACTGGATTTGCAGCAGTCGAGTTCGCAGCTCCTGCTATGCTCTGCTGGTGGAGGGAAGTGGTGGGAAAATAATGAATTCATACATCTTTTGCTGAACATCTACCCAGAGACATAACCACTAAAGTCTAAAGCTCTGCTTTTATGTAGATAGAGGAAGATCAAATAGAATTTGGTTCCAACCGGAAGGACAAAGTAAAACAAGTCGTGATAGGTACTGCGGACTGCCAACGGTATAAGCAGTATAATAACCCCATTATCAAAAGTTGTGAGCCTGTGATACAAAGATACTTTACCGAAAACCTAAGTTG